GGACGTAATTGTGTGTGTGTGTGTGTGTGTGTGTGTCTGTGTATCTGTGTGTTTATAATAAAAGGGCACATGGGTTTGTGATAGTCTGAAACCATATCTTTCAACTAGTAGATTACTCTGTAAGGATATAGTACAGGTGGAATGTGAGAATATTTATTCCCAACGAACTGACATTTATTTGTAGAGTTCTGCACAGTTTTCACACTACTTTCCCTCACATTATTTGACTGATTGTTCTCACACCACCACATAACCAATCTAGGCAGCATAGCTTGGTGGTACAAGTGGGCAACTACATCAAACCTTAGAACAAACTCCAAACTTACTTTTCCCTTTTCCTTAACATCATCATCACAGATTATAATTGCACTATTGTAATCAACCTAAAATGAGTCAAACACTTGTGGCTTATTGATAATATTAATAATTGCAATTACTCTGATTACCCTCATTATCACCATTGCTGTGATTATCACAACTATGATTTCTTGGGTATCTACTGGCTGCCAGAGGGTGCTCTAGACATTGCGCATTAATATCTTATTTAATCCACATATTAACACCAGGGGTAGGTATTATGATTATACTCCTTTTAAATGTAAGAAAACTGTCTCTCAGAGGAGTTCAGTGACTTATCTGAGATTGTATTATAAGCTAGCAAGTGGCAGGTCCTAAATGTAAAACTATGTGTGTCTGGCTCAAAGCCAGTGACTGTTCACACCCCTTCCTTCCCTTCTCACTGTAAGACACCAGGGCTATATCAAGTCCTCTGGGAGGGTCTCTGCCATCAGATACCTATAGGTCCTGAGGCATGAGCAAGAACCAGGCGCAGGTCCAAAGACACAGAGGCAGACAGACTGGCAGATGCTGAACACAACACAAGTACAAACAGAATTAACCATGTGGGAAAGAGCATTCCTTTCTGCAACCAGCTAATCAAACCAGGCCAGATCACGTCCCAGGCAATTTTCTGGGCATCCTTCAGAGAGTCGCCCAGCCTGAGAAGTCAGCCAATTATGCCTGATCATTCTCTGTAGCCCTGTCCTTATAAAAGACAAGTCCAGATTCACCCAATGTAGACAAATGAGCAGTTCTATCATCTCTGAAAGGCAATCTAATTCCTTTCAAATTTAAAAGTCTCTACAGTTTCCTAACAGGCCTCAGTGGGGCACAGGTAGAAATTAATAAGTTCACAGTGTGCCCAGCTTGCTTTCATTATCGTTTTTTGCCATGCAGTGGACAGGATTTTCATTATTACTCAAGGATTTTTCTGTGTCTGTTTCTCTAAGAAGGTCAGATCTACAGAGCTCAGACACTGGGTTGAGAATCGAGTCAAGTCTAATGGGCTTGACTGCAGTCTGAGGGAGGTTTCATTGGCTGAGTGTCGGTACTTCACTCACCAGGTGGGACAGGGATGAAAAGGCGATATCACCAGGAAAGGGAGCTCAGAGCAAGTGGTGAGAAAGCCCCGCGATGGCCTGCTCTGGGATGCTGGGCAAATTGCTTAGCCTCTCTGTTAGTTATCTTCCCTATGAGATGGGAGGGAGAAGGGTCTGGAAAAGGAAACTCAAGTTTATTAAAATTCTACTACATTTCGAATCATTGCAACATGTGTCAGAGATTTTTTTTTTTTTATTTCCTCGAAACAAGCCTGCAAAGCTGGTATAATTTTACAGATACTGATAGTAAGCAGCGATTCCCTCACACTGTCCCTTCGTCGCATCATTAGGATAAGGCACATGAAGGCCAGGGAACGGCTGGCTGCTCTGGTGTGAATGGGACTGCAGACTCGCACAACTTTGCTACAAAGCAGCTCAACATATTTCAGGAACTTTAAAATGCTTGACCAATTCATTCCAATTCTGGAACTCCATCCAAACAATAGAATTTGAAATGTGGACACCTTATAGTAAATAAAATTGGAAATAGACATATTGTCAATTAATAAGAGAATGGTAAATGATAGAATATTCATTAAGTAGGAAATCACACAGCAATTTAATGAGAGGAGAATATTTGATAAAATATCGTATTTTGATTAGTTTAGTGGGGAAAATAAGTTATAGCATTAAATATGTGATGTGATCACAATCTTTGACAAAAAAAGAGTAGAAAAATGACTGGAAGAAAATACACTAAAATGTTAAAAGACAGCTCTCTCTGAGGATATGAAGAAATATACTTCATGCTTTTTGTGTGTGCTTCTTATATTTTCCACAGTGTCTACAATAAACATTTGTTATTGTCATAATACCATAAAATCTATTTTATACCATAAAATCTATTTTATATCTCTGAAATCTGCATTTATATACAAAATGCAATCATGATTTTAATTTAAATGAAAATCAATTGAGTTGTGTATGATTTTTTTCCTGATATTTTAGCAGAGTCTATGTGTAAGAAATTTTTTAAAAAAATATGTCAAGGGAGAAAGATAAGAAAAACAAGGCAGGGCACAAATAGTATGATGAAACTGTCTTCCACAAAGCTTATAGCTCACCTCACAGACTAAACTGGAAATAAAGACCACTGGGGAAGGGTGGGCAAACTGACACAATACAGCAGCAGTTGATAAGGGGAGACTAAAAGCTTCAGTTGACTTGGAGGAGTGATGAAGCTGGCAGATATGAATTTTTCAATTTTATGAGAATGATAGGGATCTGAAATAAATCTTCAGTATTTTCTTTTTAAGATAAATGCTTTAAAATAAACGCCTACAGCATGGATGGATGGCCAGTGCCTGTGTCCTGTCTTAGAGTTGATCATAAATAACGCGGAGAAAAATAGCTTTGGCCATTCTAAAAAGCACCTTTATTTTTTACTCTTAAGAGCTTGGAGGATTATATTTTGATGCATTAAGCTGGATTTTTTTAAGGCATCTGCAAATAATAGGAGTATAGGAATTTTCTTCAGGTGGAAAAATCTATTTAGGTATTGGCTTAGAAGTAAAGCTCAGTTTCAAGATGTGCTTGAACAACTGTGGGCATATCCAATAGTTAGAATATTCAAGTTTAAAGGAATGTCATGGTTTGAAACGTAAGGAGACAGTTAAGTAATCTTTCATAAATCCAAACTTTCAAATATCAGATTTGCTTGAGTCTTTTATTTTTCTGTTCTAGTCTGCATATTAGAGAGCTTGTAACTTTATTATAGAACTACATCAGTGTCCCTGTTCACTAGCAGGTGAGTTCAGGACTACAGAAAGGGTAGATATAACACATAATCAGACACATGCCTCATCTCTTAAAGTGTTAGCCTTGATACACTGAAATGACTTAAAGACATCTGTTTACTTCCCCTTTAATCCGTCCCTAGTTCTCTCTGTCACTGTGATGGAAAAGCGAATGAGAGGCCTGCCTAGTGGAAGGGCCTCTGAGCACAGGCCATGAGAGAAGGGGCTGAAGAAGGAAGCTGGGAGCACACGTTCAGAGTGGGGAGGAAGCCACCCCTCAGCTCTGTATATCAAATCCGATTCATCAGGATAAACCGGAATCCTGCATTTTTATGCTAAATCTCCCCATTTCTAAATGTTTGTCTCTACTTTTTAAAGCACACAGTGCATGCCAAACCAAACACTGTCATGACCCAAACATTTTTGCTAATATTTACTTAAAAAGCTAATTTCCAGAGGTTGCTAAGAATTGCCAATTAAGCCTGGTATCGTATTAGTTATATCCAAGAAGGGGGTGCGCTGGAGTAGTCCTAGGCTGGCAAAGGTTTGGGGAAGATGCCTCATCTTTTGTGGAAAAGACAGCATGGGGCTTATACTTCCAAGAGGCATTCAGTTGAACTTCTGAGGATGGTTGGGGGAGGTATGGAAATGCCCCAATTCTAAACACCATGGAAGTCACAGGTACCCTTGATGGCTCTCATTCTACATAAAATAAAGATAAAGCTTTCTTCTGAGAGTCGAGAGTATCTCCCCACTCTCTGCAACAGTGCTTATGGGTTTATCTTCACATACTGCTGGATTTCCCCATTTAACCCACTCGTTCTCTCCTTACTTTATAATACTCTGTAATGAAAAAAGAGGTCTCCACAGAGCTTATCTCTTAGAAGTGCAAAAGAGCCTATTTTTTCTGCCCAAGTAGCTCATAATGTAGCAGACAAACTGTCAGAAAAAATAGACTTCATAATGGTGAAAACCTCAGCCTGGCACCCATCTATCATAAAGCAATCTTCCAGAAATCTTGAAAACCTTCATTAAATTTCCTGTCTTTCTCCTGACAGTTATAAAATGTTAACAATATTACTCATGATGCAGGCATCTTCAGAAATCCTTTGTTCAATCCCTCCTCCTGTTGCTATCACCCGTCCTGCTCTTAGCCAAAATCCATGGAAACACGCGACCTAGCTGTATTCCTCACCCACCCCTCCTGGGGCCTGGCCACAGGAAGTCAGAACAGGAAGCAGGGTAGTCTCGATGACAGTGAGAAGGCTCTCTAGCCAGCAGATGCAGAGGGCAGCATGACACTGCCTTTGGAGTCCCCTCCAAAAGCCACACTCACTTGGAAGCTCAAGCTTGGGCAGGACCCTGTCCCCACCCTTAGAAAATATTTCCTGGTCCTTTTCTCTTCCCCTTTTCTCTTGCCAATATACCATGCTACAAGTCTCCACCTATCCATGATATGTGGGTAGTGGGGACAGAGGGTCACACATGTTATCATGTCTATGGGTCAGCTCTCTAGGGGAAAACTCCTCTAAAAACCTTACTAGCCCAATTTCTCCAACTCCAGGGTCAGTTCAGCAATTTACCACCCCTCAGAACAAAAAACAGAGGTCTTACATTGTAGACAACATGAAGGAAAAAAATAAAAATAAGGAGAGACAGAATCCATACCAGAAATAAGAAGACGCATACAACTTTTAACATCGCAGGCTGATCTAGCAGGTGCATAGCTATAAATAGCTGTAAAGCCCCAGCCTGGGCTCTGTGGTGGTTTCCCAACACGTGTCCAAAGAGAGCCAAGCCTAACCATGCTACGCCATCACCTTACCTGCAAAAGGAACTGGTGCATCTTTATCCAGGGCTACCAGAGGTGGGTCCAAAATGACTGTGTCATTGTTCTCAGTTATGACTCCATGATACGAAGTCTCAATCCATGGCTTGTGCTTGTTGACTAGAAAAGAACAGGGAAAAAACAAACAAACAAAAATATCATTTGAATAACTAATCCATAATAATAGTATCAATATTGTACATTTGCCCAATCATAGGCTCTCATCCAACAATCCCATATAAATTCCTCTGAACTGGGACATATAGCATGTTAGTTCCCTTTACAACCTAGTGAAGCTTCAGAGAAGTGCAGAGAGCGTCAACAATCCACCCAGGCATATGCCAGTCAAGGGGCAGCCCCCAGACACAGACAGTCTTTTGTCTCTAAGACCACGGGTCTTTCGCCTCACCAAAATCCCAATATTTCTATTTCTGGATGCCCAATATAGATCTATATCATTAAGAATTGATCGAAAGCTTTAATTCTCAAATGCTACTATATATTGATAGATGTTTCAGAGTTAAATTTCATTATCAGTAAATAAACCAGCAGATTTCTGGGATTTTTGACATCAACCTAATCTGGTCCACCATTAGGAACATTTACTGCATTTTACGTACATACATACATACATGTACATATAGGTACCAACATATATGTAAAGATGCAACAAATATTGGAATGTTCACTGATCACTTAAAGACTGTGTCTATCTAAATGGTCTAAATTATCTAGTAACTTAAGTTGCTTTTTAATCATTTGACCAGCTGAATGTGTGCTCTTGCATAGTTCTCACGAATAAGCCCCTAGGTTTAATTAAGGGAGAAAAAGATTGTTTCTCCCAACAGCTGCAAATTATTTACATTGCATTTGTGTTGATGGCTAACAAAAGAGCAAAGGAATGTGGAGACAGCCCACGTTATCTAATGAACAATTAATACACTTAAAGTACATATCAAATATATGTTATTGGTTGAACTGTGTCCCCCCCAAAAAAGAAAGGTTGTAGTCTTTACCTGCAGTACCTTGGAATGTGGAATATTTGGAGGTAGGTCTTTATAGAAGTAATCAAGTTAAAATGAGGCCATTAGGGTGGGTTTTCATCCAATATGCCCAGTGTCCTTATAAAAAGGGGAAACTGTGGCATAGACACGCACACAGGGAGAAGGCCATGAGAAGATTGGAGTTGTGCTGCCACAAGCCAAGGAACTACCAGAGCCGGGAGACAGCCTGGAACAGATCTTTCCCAAGAGCCTTCAGAGGGAATGTGGTCCTGCCCACACCTTTGTTTCAGACTTCTGGACTCCAAAAGCATGAGACAAAAATTTTTGTTGTTCTAAGATTCCCTGTGTATAGTATTTTGTTATAGCAGCTCTCACAAATGAATACAATATACTTATATCAGCAGGTGCTAATGAAGGGTAGATAATTGAAATAAGACTTGCACGAAGACTTGGTGTAATATTTCCAGGTGAGAATCTCGTCTGGTGAATGTCAGTTCTCTGCCAGCTTCTTCTCCTTGGTGTGTCTTGTCTGGTTTGGGTCTGGCGCAGCTGACTCTAGTCTGGATAGCAGCAGCGGCTGGTCTCTCAGTAGGAACTCTTGTCCTATGTCAGTCCATGCTGGTATCAAGAATGATCTTTCTAAAACATTAATCTGATGACTCAATGGTGAGCTGCTTGGCTTCTCATATTTTTAGCTCCCCATGTACCCTCACAGAAGTCTGAGTGCAAAATAGGTGTTTAGAAACAAAACAACAGGTTGTTGGGAGCCCTAGAATAATCAAAGTTGTTCTGATGCCAGCCCTCACACCCTGCTTCACAGTTTAAAAGGCCATGTGCGCATGCTCCCCACGGCAACCTGAGGCAGGTGTGATCACTATAAAGAGGAAGAAACTACTTCCATGAGGTGTGGCTTTCCCAAGGCGATCACATGGCCAATAATTAGTAAGTGGGAAAATCAGAAACTCGTTCCTACTTTGTGATATCCAAAAAGCATGTGCACACACATGCGCATTGTAATATGTACGTCATACACATTGTACTGTATATATGTTACATACTGCATTACAAAGATTGCAGTAGCCATAGCAAAGCAAGAGCTCATACAATTGAGAGCAGCTCTGATGCAGTGACTCCTGTCCCCTTCCCACCCCATCATCCTTCAGAGGGTCACTTAGGAGCTGCTCCAGGCCTGGTGGTAGCCTCAGCCTGGGCCACCGTTTGCTCCCTCTCACCCATTCCACAGCAGCCACGAAATAACCGAGACGCAGTCTAGTGGGGCAGGGATACAGGCCTTGGCCCCTGAGATCCATTTCTGTGGTTGGATCGTGCCCCGGGCGGAGAGTAGCTCTGCTCACTGCAGGTGTGGAGGGGGCGGCAGGCTCATGCATTCCCAAGTTTTGGCGCTCAGACCAATGCTTCATTATGGCCCCTGGAAGAGTTACAGCCACCCTGGGCTGTCCCCACGCTCCTTTGCTCTTTTATTAGCCATCAACACAAATGCAATGTAAATAATTTGCAGCTGTTGGGAGAAACAATTAATCTTTCTTTCTCCCTTAATTAAACCTAGGGGCCTATTCATTAGAACTATGTACAGAGCACACGCCAGGAGCTCACCCAGTGTTTCAGATTCTCTGTGCTACCTGGCTCTGTGGCAAGCAATGAGATCCAGAGGCACCGCTCCTGGTTTTGCCCTGGCCTAGCCACTTGCTGCTGGGCCTAGGTAAGACAGGTGCTCTTGGAGTTTCAATTTTCAAAGATGTGGAACGGTAGTGATGATGCCACCTACAGGGTTGTCCTGTCATTCAGATGTCCTGTGCTAGACACAGCCTCTGCCCTTTCATTGCTCAGACTCACCACCTGCTCTCTGGGCGGTGACAGTGTCTAAAGGAGAGGTGGTTTATAGACCAGCCTTAAAGCTGCGGTCTCCCCGCCCCCCCTTAGTGGAGATGGGCTGATTTCCTTCTAGCCACTGGCCTGCCCACCCCTTACTCTCTTCTCTGTCACTGCTACAGGAAGCCAGGTACCTACCACATAGTAGGCGTTTTACACACATTCATTCATTAATTCTCACAGCAACCCCCTTAAGTAATACTGTATATCTCATTTTGTAGGTGTTGAACTAAAGTTCAGAAGGATTTACATGTTCCCATTTGGAAAATAAGAATGTTAATGCCCCTAAAGTTTTATCTCTTCTCTTCCATGTTCTAACTTCCCTCAGATCTATCTGAACTTTTGCTTTGTCAAGGTTGATAAACATTTGTATTTTTGATATGTAAGCAAAATTAGGTGTTCTGTGCTTTGTCTATTGATCAAATCACCAGGGTTGCAAACCAATAACCTAAATTTACATTATTTTGATTATCGTGGCAAGTATTTATTACACAAGAATTTATTTTCTTCTTATTAGCCAATGGTCATCTCAAGGACAACATTCCTTGCATCCAGACCAACTGGATTCTTTATTCTTTCGCTCCATCAAATGGCTGAATTGTGCTCCATTTTACCTTGCATTATATTTGGAAGCAGCCTCCCTGGTATGATTTTTGTTTTCCAAATTTAACGGTTGCCTTTTTATTTCTATTGAGTAATGAAGCATAGGACTTCTTCTCTGCAGCTCAACTATGTTATAGCTTTTAAATAATTCCATCCATTATTCATTCATCATTTGTTAAATGGAGGCCCATTTCTCAGGATTGCTATGAAAACTGCATGACATAAGGTAGTACCCCTGGAACAGAGTAGGCATTCAAACACCCTTAAGTCCCCCAGCCCATCTTATGCCCTGCTGAGGTATGGCCTTGCACTTTCAAAAATATTTAGCCCAGCTTCATTCATTCAACAAATATTTATGGAGTATTTAAAATGTACAGAAAACATTGAGGTAAACTGAAAAAAAAAATTTAACAAAATTTGACATCCATTTAAAATTAAAACTATCACAAATGATAAATAGAAAACAACTTCCTTAATCTGATAAAGAACTTGTACAAAACCCCATAGCTAACATCATACTAAATAGTTAAAGAATGAATGCTTTCCTCCTAAGATCAGAGGAATACAAGGATGTATAATCTCACTACTTCTATTCACATTGTACTGGAGGTTCTAACAAGTGCAGTGAGGAAAACAATACCAGAATGGAAATGAAAAGGTAAAAGTGTCATTATTCACAGAGAACATGATCATCATTATAAAATTCTATGAGATCGAAAATGCTACTGGAACTAATAAGAGGTTTAGGATGATCACAGGATAGAAAGTCAATATATAAAAATCAATGTTATTTCTATATACTAGGAATAAATAATTGGAAATTTAAATTGAAAAATACTGTTAGCATCAAAAACATGAAACACTTAATAATAACTTTCACAAAATATATGGAAGATCTGTACACTGGAAACTCTAAGTGCTGAAAGAATTTAAAGACTTGGAGAGGTTTTAATGGAGAGATAAATAGTGTTCATGATTTAGTAGACTCAATATAGTAAAGATGTAAATTTTCCCCAAAATCAATCCATATATTTAGTGCAACTCCAATCAAAATACCAGCAAGACTTTTTAAAGGATAAGCTAATTCAAAAATTTATATAAAAATGCAAAAGACCTGACAGTCAAAATAATTTTGGAAAAGAAGAACAAAGTTGGAGGACTTACACTACCTGATTTCAATAGTCATTGCAAAGCTAACCTAATCAAGACAATGTGGTATTGACATAAAGATAGACAAGTAGATCAACAGAAAGAGCAAAGAGTCCAGAAATAGACATATGTATGTGGTTGCATCATTTATGACAAAGGTTCCAAGGTAATTCAATGGGGAGAAGGTTAGTCTTTCCATTAAATGCTGCTGGAAAATTTGGATATCTTATGCAAAAAAATGAACTTCAGTCACACTGTATGCCATACACAAAAATTATTTCTAAAAGAATCATAGTCCTAAATGTAAAATTATATTAATAAAGCCTTTAAAAGAAAGCATAAAAGAAAGTCATAGTGTCCTTGGGTTAGGGAAAGATTAGAAGGGTCAAAAAAAAAGAACAAAACCCATAAGCCATAAAAGATAAAATTGATAATATCAAACTTTGTAAAAATTATAAGCTTTTATTTTTTGAA